CCTTGCCTCTCTTCTCTCTGTCTGTCTGTCTGTCTGTCTGTCTCTTGGTCCATGCAGGTCAAGGCAAGGTCTGCGTCTGCGACTTCGTCTGCTTCTTCAGGTTTTGCCTTCTCGCGTGCTCTGTCATACCCTCTCTTTGCTTCTTCCCCTTATCGGCTCTCCAGCATCCCCAGAACAGGGGGTCCCTCTCTGGCTCTTTTTCTTCTTCTTCTTCTTGTTCTTCTTCTTTTTCATCTTCTTCCTCGTCTTCCTCTTCTTCTCTCGTTGCTTTTTCCCTTTCTGTCTCTCCGGACTGTCGTCTCTACTTTTCGCCTCTCCCCCGTTGGGCCCCTTTTCTCGGTTCAAGGCCGACGATGGCAGCAAGAAGTCGTTAAGTAGCAGCGGCAAGACGAAGAAGAAGAAGACGAAGAAGAAGAAGAAGAAAAAATCCTTGTCCGGGGCGGATCTTCCCCCCCATGGGAAGCCCACGTTGAAGGCATATCGTCTGCGTGCAGCTCCATCTCCAGCATCCATCTCGACCGCTGCCCGGCCAGTGACAGGCCAGGCCAGCTAATAATCCAGCGAGCTAGCCTTGCCTCCGCTGCCTCTGCTTCTTTGCTTCTTCCTCGCCGTCAAGTCCTTTTTGGCTTTTGCTTTATATTTGCTTCTTCCTGTCTTTTCTCTTTCTTCCCTGCCTGGGCGTTTCATGGGCCTTCCGCTGCCCTCTCTGCCTCTCTGCCTCTGCCCTCTCTGAGCTCCTCTTCTACTTTGACTTATCCTTTTAAAACTCGCTGGCTAGCCTGCCAAGATAGGCCCTTTCTTTGCTTTTCTTTTCTTTTGCTCCCTGCGACGGTCTATCAAGCTTGTTCGTTGGTGATAGCATCTCTACCTTACTTACGGGGCTGCTATATATATCTCCCTGCCTTTCCCCCCGCCGGCCGGTGCCCTATATACATCTATCTATGCCGTCGGCTCTCCGTTGTTGATACCTCCCAGGCCCTCTTTGCGTCGCCATGACTGTTTCCATCCTGCTATAACTAGCCCGGTGTCTCTGCATTCTCCAGCGTTCGTCTGCTTTGCCTCGCATCCGACCTGCGTCTGCTGCCGTCCTCTCCTCCTGACCATACACACACACACACACCCCGTACATACTCAACCCGCACCCGCATACACCTTATATATATATACATACAAACAAACAAGCAACATGGATATGGACCAGGCCTGTCTCAAGGGAATGGACAGTCCGCCGCAATCGGCAGAGGAAAAGTCCTCCAAGGACGCTGCTCAGAAGGCCAAGGGGCCTCGCAAGCGGACAAAGACCGGCTGTCTCAGTGAGTCTGCCTTTATATATTCAACATTTTGTATCTTACATCTACTGACAGCTGCTAGCCTGCCGCAAGAGACGCATCAAGTGCGGCGAAGAGAAGCCCCGGTGCAACAATTGCATCAAATCCAAGCGAGAGTGCGAGGGCTACGGCCAGCGAGTCGTCTTCCGGCATCCCGTCGGCCCCATCCCCCATCTCGGGCCCATCCGCCAGATCCAGGGCATGGGAGGCATGCCCGGCATGCCCATCATGGCCGGCGCCTTTGGCCATTCCATGCAGCAGCACATCGAGGCCGCCTCTGCCTCCCGGCCCGCCCTGCTGCCCATCGCTCCTCGCCCGTCCTATCACCACGCTCACCCGGACGAGCTGTCCCGGCATCATCAGGCCTATTCGTCTGCTGCAGACCCCTACGCTGCCTCGACGCAGCACCATTCCGCCATCAACCCGGACCAGCCGCCGTATACCTGGGACTCGGTCTCGTACAGTGACGGCTCGTACATACCAACTTCCTCTGCTGCCGCTGCCGTGTCTACTGCAGCGGCCGGCTCGGCTCAGCACTACGTCACTTCTACCTCCTCCTCCTCCGCCGCTAGCTATCCGTCCTCTGAAGCCCCCTATCCGCATCAGGAGTATGCATACGAGGACACCACTGCTTGGGAAGACGCATCCCAGCTGCAGCCCTATGAAGCGGCGGCGGTATACCAGGCCCAGCTCTCACTCCAAGTATGCTCTCCCCCTATCTTTCTCTCATTCTCTTTGAGCGCATAGAAGACCAACTAAACTAACAGGATAGGGATTCAATCCTCCTTCGTCGATAGTCTCGCCAACACCCGAATGTATGGGCACATACCGATTCATAGTAATGTAGCACTGACTAAAAGGTTTCTACGTCCAGATGTTCGGCATGATCATGTTTCTACTACTACTTCTACTTCTACTACTGCTGCTACCACTTACACTACTGCTACCTACTCTGCTTCTTCTGCTACACTGGTGCCCAAGTTGGAGTCAAAGGAGGCCCTGCTGTTTCCCCCTGCCCCTGATGCTAATGATGCCCCCAATCAATGCCGCCAGCAGCATAGCCTGGTGATGCACGATGTTGGAGAAGAGAGTGATGACTATTATGATGTCGAGTCAGACGAGGAGCTGGGAGACCAGTTTTCTGCTCCCTCTGCTCCCTCTGCTGCTGCCTGCCATGCAGTGCCAGGCAAAGGCAGCCTCTACTACCCTTCCTCTGCTCTCGCAGTATCTAATCCGCCCTTTGCGAGTTATATGAATTATGATAATTTATTGGCCACGTACCGCCCGTCTCCCTTAACTTCGCCCCTTATCGACCCTGAGGTCGCCAAACTATTCTCCCACTTCATAGGCTCCATCGGGACCATCATATCCATCTTCGAGCGCAAGCACAGTATCGCCCCTTTGCTCAGCTTCTCTCTCCTGCCGACCGAGCAGCAGAGCCTGTTCACCTATACCCTGCCGACCCTGGCGCTCGAGAACCACGGCCTGCTGCACTCCATCCTGGCCCTGAGCAGCGTTCACCTCGCCTACACCACCGGCCAGTCCTCGACGGCCGCCTTCAGACACTACCACTTTGCCCTGCGGCGCATCAGCAAGGCCGTCGGCCTGCCGCACAGGAGGAAGCAGATCCCGACTCTCGCAGCGACCTTGCTGCTCGGCTTCTTCGAGGTCCTCGCCGCCGAGCACTCGAAGTGGTGCAGCCATGTCGCGGGAGCATCGCAGCTGATCCGGGAGATCGACTTTGCCAGCACGACCAGACGCATCCGAGCGATGAGAGCGCGGGCGAGGAAGCAGAAATCCGTGGCCGGCGAGAAGTCGTGGACTCGAGCGGGCGATTTCAGGCTGGACACCTTCTTCGAGAACGACATCTATGCGCCGATCGAGCGGGAGATCGACGTCGATCTTGTCAGTGCGATCATGGGCAGAGACGCCAACTATGATGCGCTGCCCGCTGAGCCCGCGTTTGATCAGCCGCTCACGGTGAAGGATATCGAGGATCATCGCATCCGGACGGACCTCTACTGGCACTATTGCAAGCAGGATCTCTTCCAGAGCCTCATCAGCGGCAACCCCTTACTGTATGTATTCTACTATTCTACTATTCCAGTTACCCACCAGGGCAACGTCCTAAACTAACGGCTGCAGGCTCCCGTACGAAAAATGGGCACAGACTCCTCCACGCTCGGCGGTCGGCAGGATTCAGACAGCCTACGGGACGATGGACCATCTGCTGCTGCTGCTCGCTCGCATCTCAGCCTTCGGCGTCAAGGACAGGAAGCGCAAGCTCAAGGTCATGGAGGGCAACGGGGATGAATGGCGTCCGCCTCCCAGCATGTTCCCCCCTGCCACTGCCCCTGGCGGGCCGCCCAAGCCAGCATCAGGACCACCACCAGGACCGGCATCACGAGCTAGAGGACAAGCAGCAAATCAGGGCAAGAGCCCGCCCATGTACGGGATGCTGCCAGCGGGCCCCGTCAAGCTTTTCTCGGGATTCGCAGCTGCGCCGGGCGCTGGGCCGACACAGCAGGCAGCGGCGTCTCCCAGCACCGCCAGCAGCAGCGACGAGACGGATCTAGACACCCGCACGGCGCAGGCAGAGGCCGAGTGGCAAGACATCCTCGCTGCCTGCGAGCGTTTCGAACAGGCCATGGGTCCGGCCTTTGCTCCGTTGCCCCCGGATGGCGCACCTCTGATCACAAGCCCGTTTGGCCCTGCATTGCAGTACCGTACCCACATTATTGGCTGCATCTGGGGGCTCTACTATATGGGCCGTATTATCCTCCATCGCTTCCACCCTTCCATGCCTCCCGCTGCAACCATGGCCGCTGTCGTGGCCGCCCCGAGGACAGCCCAGTATGCGCAAAACATCGGTCGTGTGGCTGCTGGGATTCCCTACGACCACCGCTTCAGCAGCAGCGCCAGCGCCAGCACCAGCAACAGCAACAGCTATGCGTACCCTTCTTCTTGCCCGCCTGCGGGTGCCAGCTCGAATCTAAATGTTACCATCGCCGGGGTGCTGCACGAGCTCACCGTCTGTCTCTTCTTCGCGGCCGTACAGTACGTCGATCCGGCGCAGCGAGCCTGGACGGTGGCGATGCTACGTGACATATCGATTATCACCGGCAGCAAGTCCCCGATCGCCATTGCCCGGGGCTGCGAGACCTCCTGGATCAAGGCCGCTGAGGCTGGTCGAGGCCCGCCGCACCAGCGCATGGTGTTTGACTTTGACCCCAACGACGTGTGCAGTCGTGAGGGCGTCGTTCCAGACCACGGCGATGATAGACGCTGGACCGCTGTCCATCGTGGCAGCTCGATTTCATGGGCCATGGGCTTGCTGTCGATTGACGGTGACTATGCTGTGGCGGAGGATAGGAATAACAGGGGCAGCCCGTCGACTTCTACTACGTGACACAGGCCTATCATGATGACGATATGATGATACGTTTTTCTTTTTTGATGGACACTGCAGGAGTATTTCTTTCCTAGCACTCTTCACTCTTGTTGTCTTCTTCTCTCTCTCTCTTTTTTTTTCATGTGTTTTAACATGTATGATATGATGATGACGATGCTATTCAAGCCTGGAATGATATTTTCTGTTTTTTCATAACACTTTCCGAAGCATCATGTAGCTTGTCTGTTCTAAACGGGGGAAAATTTGAGAACGCCAATTCCCCTATAAAAACATCAACATGGCATGTCATTGACCGTAACTGCGTTTATTTAGATCATTTCCAAGTACAACATAATCATGAATCTCACTGCACTGGGGGCCTGCGTTTGGTCTTTTGTTTTTTTCATTTCTCCCTAGATAAGATATCCAATTGCACCGTCAAGATTACCGTTCGCTGCGTCGAGGGCCTGTATCGCTTCGTCTCGCGTGAATCCTAGATCGGTTATTTTGGCAATCGAGTCAGCTGGCCAGCGCGAGGCTCGCTGCTGGGGGGCATTAGCAGCAGCCGCAGCAGCAGGAGTGGCAGCAGTCGCAGCAGAAGGAGCAGGAGCAGGACGGGGACCAAGAGCAGGACCAGGAGCTGGAGAAAGGCCAGGAGACGGGCCAGTTGGTGGGGGACGATATAAAGAAGTTGGTAGTGCAGGTCTCGGGAAGGCAGCCGTCCCGCCTGCTGCAGCTGGATGCTGTACGGCACCAGTCCTGCCTCCGATAATAGCTCCATCCGAGCCCCTGACCATTGGCTCGTCTTCAAACTCGTCTTGGTGCTTGGGTATATCGGCTTCATGGAGGAACGGCACCGTCTCATCCCGGATCTTAAGCACGCCTTCTTTCAGGTCTATACAAGCCTGGTGGCGTTTAAGCATGTCTAGGCCAAGCAGGAGATCAATGTGCTTTCCATCCATCACCGTGAAGGAACAAGGGAGAAACATGTCCCCGATTTTGATCTCGGCGCAGTGGACACGCCCCAAGATGTCAGCGGTACCTACACCCTTTGCAATACCACCGTATCGTCTGTCAATTAATCGCATGATATTGCAGGCAGAGGCGCATGCGGGTGACATGATGGTGACCTGGGCACCGGAGTCAACGAATGCCTTCACTTTATGCCCATTCACCTCCACAGGGATGTACAGCATAGTTACTCGTCCAAATGCTAGCCCCCTGAAGTTAGCATGTCACGTAAATATGGCCAAAGTAATATATAAATCATAAAAAAGGACGTACCTTCTGGAGTGTGCTCCATGGCCGTGTGTAGGTTCTCCGTAACAGCATTCTGACGGATAATCTCCTCAATCTCCCGCTGTGCATCGAGGTTGAACGGGTCTGCGTTCAGCATGGCTATTCTGGCCTCCTTTGCGGCCTCGGCCTGTGCCTCAGCCCGTCGATGAGACATCATTATCTCTCGAAACCGCCGCGGGTCATCTACGGCAGATGCCAGCTGCGGGTTCTGCTGTCTGACTGCCGCCAGGACCCGTGGATCACCCAACATGTGCAGCCTTATCGTCTCTGGGTCCGGTATGGTCGGCTGCCCCCCGCGTGAAGAGTCCCCTTCCCCTTGCTGTGACGCAGCGCCAGCACCAGCACGCGAGGGGTTACCCTGGCCTGGTCCGGACGCCGGGGTTGGTACTCGTATATGCATACCCAGCATGTCGCCTTCGCTTATGCCCAGCTGTCCCAACGGTTTCGAGTCGTCTGTCAACGGCCGGTTATTGTGGAAGAGGTGCTGCGACTGAGGGGGGATCTGGACGTCACTCTGTATGACGGCCTTGAGGTCCGCCAGCGTCATGTCCTCGCCGACATCGAGAGAGACAATGTCCGAGCTGACGGCTACGTTCGACGCGACAACGGAGACCGTGATGCGCCTGCCAGCTCCCTGGTTAGTATTGGGAAACCTTGCCAGGCTGGAAGCCACTTACATCTTGCACCAGGTCACAGAAGACGGAGTGGTGAGTGAGTGTGTCTTGAGTGTCTCCCGGGGGATCTTGGGTATTTCTGTCTCGTGTATATGCTATGCAGTCCCTGGCGGAAGCTTTCTCGGTCGTGGTTGAAGAGGATGAAGAGGATGGAGAGGCTGAGGTTGGCGGTTGAAGTTGAGGTTGAGGTTGAAGTTGACGTTGACGTTTGAAGGCTCGCCAGGCGCCAAAGGCAGATGACGCAGGCGGCTCTTTAACGCGACGACGACACACAGCTCAGCAAACTTCAGCACTCGGCGGCAGCAGCAGCAGCAGCAGCAGCAGCAGCA